ACTGTGGGGCAGTTGTCTCTTAGTCGAAGTACTACGAGTACTCCTACACCAGAGAGCGCACCGGCATGGCAGGCTAATTGGAGTGATTCCATTGACGAGGATGACGGTGATGTTGAGGTTGGGAATGCCCCAGATGCTGGTGATGTTGCTGGTGATGCTGAGGTTGGGGATGCCCCACCTCAAGCTGATTTAGGCGTGGGGAAGACGACGCGGGTCGGGATATCTTCTACTGCCTCCTCACACTTCCGTGGGCCCGATGGACGCTATGCGTCCAGACCTAGTAGCGAGGAAGGCGGAGATGGAAATAGGAAGAGGAAGACCACGAGGAAAGATATGTCGTGGTTTCTTACATCCGAGTCTCTGATGTGTTTAGGTGGACCAGTGATTCCCGATGTGATCCCTAGCTTTGGAGGTCACATTGGCTTTGTACTGTGGACTTCCCCTGAGCAGGACCCTGGAGTGTTTGACGCCTTCCATAGGCCAAAAGCTGTAGAGACTTTGAGGCGATATAAGTGGAGTGCAGAGGGTTCCAAGGAGATGGTTGAAGCCACATGATTGTCTCACTTGACAGGGTGCATGATGCAGCATTTAGACATGGCTCTACTGTCGGCATTTGTGGAGAGGTGGCAGCCGGACACAAACACCTTCCACATGCCGTTTGGAGAGATTTCGATCCTTCTACACGATGTGCATCACATTCTTCGGATACCGGTTAACGGAGAGCTGATGGGAGATGAGGCGTCGCCGGATATTCTTAAGTCAGCCATGAGTGGTCTAGTTCGAATTTCGGTGGATGCTCAGGTTGGTGGTAAGTGGAAGTCTAAGTGGTACGATAATGGTGCTATGCATGCAGAGGGATTGTTGGTGCGTGGGGGAGAGCTGAAGATTAAGGAGATGGAGGTGCAATGTTACCTATTTGTGTTACTGGGATCCAAGCTTTTTGTGGATAAGAGTCGTGATCGCCTTCGTCCTACGATCAACTTGTTTCTGAAGGATCATCGACGATTGACTGATTACGCTTGGGGAGCTAGTGCACTAGCCTATCTCTACAGACAGTTGGGAGTGGCCACACGAGCGGGTAGTAAGGGTCTTTGTGGTTGTTTGACCCTGCTTCAGGCTTGGATATATGAGTACTTTCCTCTATTCCGTCCGAGCCAGCTGCCCCAGTCTCTGGATGCACCTCGTGCTTCCTCGTGGATTTCTCCCCGTTTGCCAGGTGGGGATGATGCTAGACAGAGGTTAGCATGTTATCGACAGTTGTTGGATGAGCTTTCAGCTGATGATGTGACCTGGACTCCGTATGGACGAGATGGCCACACAGATATACCTCGCTCCTTGTTTACTGGGCCCCATTCGCTTTTCTGACATTGCTGAGGGATACGATCCTGCACGTTGTCTGCGCCAGTTTGGATACCGACAGATTATCCCTCGTGCTATGATGGTACCACATGACCAGTACCGTCCGGCTTCCGGAAGCAGTTACATAGTCTTTTGGGATCCGTGGGTGAATCAGTTGTGGGATAACATGGCAGCCCATTGTCTAGATTTGAATTTTGCTTCTCGGTCGTGCTAGCACCCATCGGAGATCGTGGAGGAGTACGTTGACTGGTTTCTGACTAGATCGCACCCACGGATCACCCACCTCACTGATGGGGTGCCTCAGCCTCGACCACTACTAGTTCATCAGGTTAGTTATGACTTTCTTTTGCTTTTCCAAATATAAAGGACATTTGTTATTTATTCTAACATTGTTTTCTATTTACAGTTGAGAGAGCAAATTGTGGATCGTTTAGGTCCCGTGTTGCTGACGAGGGACCGGAGTAAGTGGGAGGAGGACGGTGGTAAGTTCTATGATATGGTAGCTGGGGTTCACGAGTTGTACGACCAGTTGGTAGGGCAGCCGCCTCAGTACACGATTGTGTTTTTTATTTTTCATCATTTGTAGTTAAACTGAGACTATTGTGCCTTTTATTTGTCATCATTTGTAGTTGAACTGAGACTATTGTGCTTTTTATTTGTCATCGTTTGTAGTTGAACTGAGACTATTGTGTTTTTTATTTGTCATCGTTTGTAGTTGAATTGAGACGATTGTGTTTTTTTTTACTTTAGTTACATTCAATGCATTGCTAAAATAGTTAATCAACATGGTAGATTACTAAATGTTTCAACAATAGAGAGTTATACAATTCGTAAATATACTTCCAATCGTCATCCCCGTGGGTTCAAACTATCATAAAGCGCACGCTCATGTAAGAAGAATTGATCCCACCCATTGACAATAGGGTCATGAAAAATAGGCCAAAGGCCATTAATTGGAGGCATGGGCACTTGACCATGTCGAAAGTCAAGTCGCACCCAATGATCCCCCGTAAAATGTAGTGATAAGATCCCACGTGGTCTGTTACTCCTGGTGGGCCCGTCACAGGTAGCACTGTATAACGACCGCCTTGGCTGTATACAACGATAGCCCATGAATGCAAGGTGGCGAAGACGAAGAGTTCCACATTATCCATCCAGTTGGGAGGTCCACGGCCACTTGTTGATGCCCACCTGCAACGTCGAATGCCATTTTCTATTCCATTTGCTATTCCATCATAGTACTCTCTATAAAGCTCAGGACGGGATTCAAGCTCCTCTACAACAGCGCGTCTCATTTGTGGCCAATTCCTTTGGTCCCCAGTAACTGCTTGTGATATAGCTCGAAATCCACAGTGTCCATCTGGAATAGGGTTGAACCAACCACGAACTAGTCGTTGCACGTAGGATTCCAAACAATGTAGCCATGGGTAATTCTTCCAACTAGTATTGGGAATCCGAGCAACCCTCCACGGGGCACCATCTAGCCAAAGAGCATAACACAATAAATTAATACACATAGTTATACAATATGTTTACCCGAAATTAGGAATATAATTTCTAACCTGTATCATTATGGATCGGCTCCGTCCCATTCTCGAAGTTGGTTTGTGCATTCACATTCGAGGCACCACCTATCTCATTTAAAAAAATAGATTAGTTGTACACTATATTGAGGACAATTGAACACAACTAATAGAAAAAGTTAATCTACCTGTATTTTCATCATTGTCCGGAGTTTCAGTCGGAAGTCTTGAACTTCTCCTCCCTCGTCTCCTCTCCACATGCTCTAAGTGAGATAGGTTTTGAGTGGTGGACGTCCTTGGGCGACCGGGGCGGGGCTGTCCCCCATGCGGTTCATCAATGCCATCGTTTTCAGGATGAAGATGGCTCCGGAGTAGACCGATTGCACCTCGAATGGTCTCGACACCTCTATCAAGAACCTCCTGTACTAGACCTTGGAACACACATCGGTGGTAATCACTATGGTCATCCCACTCCGGCCGAGTAGGAGGTTCACGATAGTTGATAACGGTCCAGAATGGCAACACCTCATACAAGGCGAAATCCCGATTTTCACGTCGTGCTAACTGAATGGAACATCTACATGTGAGACCATAGGTAGGAGGAAACGTACATGTACAAGGTTCCCCTTCCACTGCTACCTTGAACAACATCAACCTCAGAGCTTCTAGAGTGACTTTCGTATTCAACTCTCGAAATGGTTTTCCATCCGCTCGGAGCAGCTTCTTTTGTCGGGAATCCTCTAGAAGCTTCCTGATTTGAAGGTGTTGAGCCTCAATGTAATCATCTTTCTTCTTGAATACCTACAGACAATGAAGAACAATTAGGAGACTACTAAAACTTATGTGTGTATCAATGAAGATTTATTAGGAGACTAACCGTGTCGACTGCGCCAGTAGATGATTGAAGCCACTTCTTGAAGGAGGAATGGGCAGCTTCAACCCTATTAGAGCTTGTGTTACCCAAATGCCGCACTTGATTGGTATAACATTTAGCCCACATGTGTCTAACTGGTAACCACTCAGCTGCCATATACCCCCAAAGACGTTGGTACTGTACTCCCCAACTACGTCTGAAATTGTCTAAGGCAGTATCCATGTCTTCCACTGTCAATGCATATACAGCACGTTGCCAAGACGCCATGATATGATCCACTGTCGGTTTGGCTGCATCTATACCACAATGAGTCGTCCTTCGCACCTCCGCTAGACACTTTGCTCTCACATTCCTATCTATATGCCAAAGACATAATATATGAGTCGATGATGGAAACATTACCCCCACGGTCTCAACCAATCCTCCTGCCTTGTCACTGACAAACACATCTGGAACAATGGGGCCAAGAAGATGTTGCAAATGCGTCAGAAGCCACTGGTACGACTCCTTCGTCTCGTCGTACACTATTGCATATGCAATGACAAAGTTCAATCCCACTGGTGTCATGCCGACAATCTCAACCCAAGGCATATCATACTTATTGGTCTTGTATGTTGCATCTATCACGATCACATGGTGCCAAGCTCGCAACATCACTATTGACTCGAGGTGGGCTAGGAACAAGTGTGTAAGCCCGTTACGATCGTCCATATACTGCACATAGTAACCCTTCTCCTGCGCCATGCGGAAAGTATACTGTAAGGCTGTCATCTGACCAAGCTCTTCTTTCCTTATCTTGTGACACTCGTTATAAATCTACTTTCTGTTCTGTGTTCCATTTGCACCTTTTCTGTCATTCACTGCCTTGTGGATATTCCTTGGTGGGACACCGGCTGATCTCAGCTCTCTGATGTATTGCTTATCCTTTGTAGTCAAAACATTCCTTAACCATTTCATTACATTAGAAGATGTTCATATATGATACTTAACCACTTCTTTAAATTGAAAGAGGTATTTAATCACTTCCTTACTCCATGCAGGTGTCAACCTGACCCGATTGCTGAGTTCCCTGGGGAACGCCATAACTTCACGTGCAGACTTTGGGGAGAGTAGCAGTACCCAGAAGCAACGCCAAGCTTTCGGCCCTTCATAAGACAGATTACTGAAGCACTGGGAGGGTTCAGCCTTGTGGACGTGTTCCCTTCCAGCAAGTTTTGCGTCCAGTCACAGGGTTCGAAGCCAACCTGAAGAAGATTCACGCAGCAGCAGATGCCATCCTGGAAGCTCTGATCAACGACCATGTAGCCAAAAGATCATCAACAAAACATGATGAAGAAGATGTTCTGGATGTTCTTCTGAATCTCAAGGACAATAAAGACCTCGGGTTCCCTTTCGGCAACGCTGAGATCAAAGTTGTCATCCTCGTGAGTGTTTCGATCTTTAACGAATCCAACCAAATCAAATCGGGATCCGTATATATAACAGTACTACTCGGTCATTAATATGTTTACAGGACATATTCCTACCGAGACGTGGACTGTCACAGCAGGATGGGTCATATCGGAGCTCATGAAGAACCCAGAAATCATTAGTTCAAATGGTTGGAATGTTCGACCTTTGTATTTTATGACCTGTTAGCCTGGGTTCGATCGAGGAAGATTACAAGTTTTTACTCCTTTTTATACCAACTAGCTTTTTACCCGGCCCGTTGGCCGGAGAGTTTTATTTTATCGTTGACATAAATTCAATTTATCTATATGTTTAAACTATTTTAGACCTTCTAAATTTATTATATTTTGTATTGAAAAGTGAGTATGTGGTGTGTTTATATATTGAAAATTCTCAATACTTGCCACATTCACTTATAATGTTTGAATTCTCTAATCATAAACTATGTCACAAAGGTATACCACGTCCCATGTACAATTTTTTCTATCTTATATGAATCCACGTTGTTCAGATGAGGACATCTTAGTTAGAGTTTCTTTCTACATATACTTCATTATTGGATAAATTTCTTCATCTCAATTAAAAGTTGACACTTTGGATGTCATGAAATTTACTGTAAGATCTTATTTGTATTTAGTCTCTTATACAATATGTATCGATTGCTAATTTCTGAAATTTAATTTGGACTAACTAAGACTCCTTGTCGTTGTTTATATATTATTTTAGAATCTCAATCCAAGATACTCACATACGAATTTTGATTTTAATATGGTGCGTTAGTGTATAATTTTACAACTTGTAGAACCTTCGTTTTCTAAAATTCATTTATGTTTGGTATTTGTTTAGAAATAAAAATTTCACTACTTATATTAACATATGCATTTTTCTGTATGGCCACATTTATTGTCAATATATAGCATATATATTAAAAAGAGTTTAATTATTTTTAAGTGTAATTAATACTTGTTTTTTACCGGGATTTGTAAAATGTTAAGAAAATAAAGGGAAATATGAATAATTGTAAAAAAAAGGATGGAAGTACACATTATAAGTGAGAGAAAAGTTATTCTTACTTATCATCTTCATTTATCCAATGAGGTGATCTATTCTTGCTCCATTGAATTTTTATCAAATTATTTTATTCCGTAAATATATTATTAGTTGTGCATGTGTTTTATTGCAAAAAAATGCATGTGTTTGGTAAGAAAGATCATACCGATGATCAACTTCTCTAATCTTGCCTCATTTTCATGTGAATGTTCATGAAGTCTCCTAACGATCTTATGTTAACATATGTCTATCAAGAGACCCAAATTTAGTATATTATATAACAGAGTAAATACATTTTATTAACCAAATCTTTCAAAAAAAATTCAAAATACAAAGTATTAGCCAAACGTTAACTCCCCGTTAGCATTTTTGTTAGTAATGTTGACTCAACAACATGATGATGAGTTGGAAGAGACACGTGACAGTCTATAATCCAATTTAGCATTTTAATTAAAAAAGAGTTACAAAATTATTAATGATAACAAACAAATGATTAATATTTTGATGTGATACAAAATATTTGGCTAATCATTTGTAGTTCGAAAGGTTTGGCTAGTAATTTAAAAAAACTGAAAGGTATAGCTATTTAAATGTTATTTACTCAATATGTATCAATTGCTAAGTTGTCTCCTCCAACATTTTGTCACGACCGCTACTGAAGTTCTATACCAGATCTGCTCTGTCCAATCCTCACCTTTGTCCACCAATTCACGGCCCATATAGGAACATCGCCAGCTGAATTTTAAATTGTCCTCCTGCACCATTTCTCACATGCGCCACCAAATTGTTGACATAGTTAGTTTCGTCTACTTAGGTATCTCCACTCTCTATTGCATTTAACACACGTTATTTGGTTTGCTTTTCTTCACTCAAAATTTCTTCTCCTGACGACAAATCAAAAGGTAATGGCCTAACACCTACTTAGCGTATGACGTAAACTGAAAATTTACTTAATAAGATTTATTCAAATCTTTTTGTTTAAACAATCGCGATACATGTCAGTCTCCAAACATTAGTATACTGCTGATACACATATATACTACAAAAGGTACAATGAATTATTAAATAAAAACTAAAGAAAACATTAAATGAAGATAGAGATAGCTACATAAATTGAGCATTAACTTACTTTTGTGTTTGTAAAAAAAGTGTCAACCATGATAATTTGTAAATTCTTCAAGTGCTTATGTGGCAACAAACTATTGTTGAATTGCCATAGATAGATAGATAAACAGATAGATAGATTTTAAACCTTTATTTGATTAATGCATAGGTCAGTGGTTGATGAACACATGATGTTTAACATACAGTTTAGCAAAGATTCATCTAACTTTCACACGTATAATTTTTTAATGTATCTCGTGTCTCATCTTAAGATATGAAGTCAAGTTCATAAACAATCATACCGAAGTCATTTTGAAAATTTTGATTTATAATCCTTGAAAATTTATTACTCCAAGTTTGAAAATTAAATTTCTTAACATATGACGTAAAACTTCAGTAGAGTTTGCTCAATTAACACGACCTAGAGCAAAAATGCAAAATATTCGTAATTTAAACTTAGGATACATTGTAAATTATTGCACCTATGATTCATATGTCTTCATTTAATTAGAATGAATAAGGTTTTGGTTTAAGAAATAGATTTTATTGCTTGGTCAAGTTTCTATTCAAACGTTTCTTGTTTTCTCTCTTTAATTTACATCTTTATTTTGTCGCGATAAAATGTTATTATGTATGTGTGTTTGTATAAATTGTTCATTAAAATGTAACATATTTGTAAATTATTGTAAAAGTGAGTTAAAAATTTACTTAATGAGCTTTAATAAGATATTTTTTTGGTTGAGAAAAAAGTTATATGTGTGACTCAAAGACATTAGTCTATTGTTGCGTACATCGATACAATGCAAAAGTAAAAACAAAAACATAAAGGTATTGGAAAAGAAAAATAAATTAGAGATAACAAATGTAATATATGTCACTTTTCATATATTATTTATTATTGTGTACATTGCTATAGTACAAAAAAAGGATAAAAGAGAAATGAAATATTAAATGAAGAGAGAGATAGCTCCATAAATATATCAATAACTATTTTTCTTTTTGTAAAAATATTGTCCACCTTGGTAATTTGTGAACTCTTCAAGTGCTTAGGTGGCAAACAATTACTTTTGAATTGCCATAATATTATGTATAGATTTCACTTCCTCCCCATTGGTCAGGGTTCGATCCAGGAAGCTGCCAAGTTTTTACTCCTTTTCTTATACCACTTCCATTTCCTTTCCTCCTTACACCCCGTCATTTTTACTTTAATATAGCTAGAAAAAACCCCATCATTATGGTTACCTTAATTATATTTGATGAAGAAAATGTTTCATCTTTAATTATGTTATGATTCTTCATTTTTTGTAGGCAACCGTACTTATTTGTACAAATTTCAAACAAATAATTGCTTTAGCATATTTTTAGAATATATTGAAATATTTTTCTCGTGAACTTATAGAACGTTTTGCTAAATCGATTTCAATTTTTTATTACATTGCATCTCCTTGTGATCGTAATTGTATTTTGATTACAATGAAAGGTCGAATATAATCCATGAACCTTTAATCACCTATTATTTTTCATAGTTAAATTGTCGATTATTTATGTAAATATATAAAAAAGATTTGTCAATTAATTATGTTTCTTCATTATGTCATGGGGGAAAATTTTGTCAATATACAACAGGAAAAAAAAAACTTCGTCGGCCCCCCTAATTTTAAATCCTGACTCCGTCCCTGTGATCAACGACCATGTAGCCAAAAGAAAATCAACAAAACATGATGATAAAGATGTTCTGGATGTTCTTCTGAATCTCAAGGACAACAGAGACCTCGGGTTCCCTTTCGGCAACACTGAGATCAAAGCTGTCATCCTCGTGAGTGTTTCGATCTTTAATGAATCCAACCAAATCAAATCGGGGTCCATCTATATAAAAGTACCCGATCATTAATATGTTTACAGGACATATTCCTAGCCGGGATAGAGACGTGGACTGTCACAGCAGGATGGGTAATATCGGAGCTCATGAAGAACCCAGAAATCATGGCAAAAGCACAGGAAGAGGTTAGACGAGTTTTCGATGGGAAGGGAAAAGCAGAGGTGGATGAAGCGGGCATACATGAACTACAGTATTTGGAACTGGTATTGAAAGAAACGTTAAGGCTACATGCTCCCGACCCTTTGATCGTCCCCAGAGAATGTCAAGAGACGGTAGTGATTAACGAATATCGAATCGAGGCCAAGACAAGGGCCATCTGTCGAGATCCCGATAATTGGGTTGATCCCGACACTTCTAAAACGTAAAGGTTCCTCGATTCTTCCGTTGATTACAAGGGACAAGACTTTCAGTTCATTCCATTTGGAGCCGGACGAAGAATCTGTGCAGGCATGCATTACGGGATTGCTATTGTCAATCTTGCGCTTGCAAACTTACTCTATCATTTTGATTGGAAGCTTCCCGACGGGATTACGCCTCAAAATTTGGATATGTCGGAAAGATTTGGGACGGAAGTGGGAAGGAAAAATGATCTAGTCCTCATCCCCATTCCATACCATCCCATTGTACCAAACCCTAAACCAACAAGCTTAGCTTAGCTTCATATGCAGTTTGACCCTCCTTCCAATGGGGGATGTCTCTTTCTCGTTATTTAATGATGATACTTCATACTTGCGTGAAGCTTTCAATATTGGTTTTAGCTGGATTCGTATGGTTGATTTTATTTCCTTGATTTTATTTCCTTGATATATATTCATCGATAAAAATATTATATTATATACGTATGTATTGATGTATTTGATGTGTTATAAACTATAGTGTTTGGTATATGTGATTGTATTTTTAAGACTTAATACCAATAATTGTCTCGTATTTGACCCTATATGTCCATTGTGTCCCTGTATTTTCAATATTAAAATTGCGTCCCAAAGTTTAATCTCAATTAATTTTGACTGCCAGTGGTTAACGGTGAGCAAAATGACTATTGACATGTCGTTGACTTGAAATCTTTTTGCCACGTCAACTTGAAAAAATAATTATACTTCCTCACACTATTAATTAAAAGATTCAAGATACAAAACAAGAGATAACATATTAATATATAAAGTTAAATACAATTTACTGTTTACTAAGTTTTTCAGTTCGCTAACCGTGCTACTAATTTAATTTGTACACGTTGAAACAATTAAAAGAATACACTTAATATGACGAAGCCGGAGCTCCCGGTCCAATTCTATCATCGGGAGGTTCTATTTGCATTGGGGAATCTTATTGACAGAACAGTGAAACTTGATTATCACACGGAGAACATGGAGCGTGGGAAGTTTGCTCGAATAGCAGTGGAACTTGATATGACGAAGCCGCTGGCGACCCGAATTCGGTTGGACGGATTTTGGCAACCGCTCCTCTATGAGAACTTACCAGAAATATGCTTTGAGTGTGGCAGGATTGGCCATACTTAGGAGTCCTGCTCTAGAAGAGTGTGTAATGCGGCTAATACTACTTTGTCGGCTGCGAATCCGATTTGTCCCACTGAAGGGTCGTCACCGTCGTCGGAGTCTCCCGCCGGCTACGGGCCGTGGATGCAAGTGACAAGAAAAAGTAAAAAACAGAATAGGAAGGTTGCGCAGAATACGGTCGGCAACCAGGGCGGAGACTCAGGTCGCGGGGGAATTTCAGGGAAAGTCAATCAGAAATCGAACCGCCAAGGAAAGGGTGATCCGATCGGAGCCAATTTAGGAAAGGAGGGGAAAGGAAAAGCGACGTCCAAGGCTGATGATAAGAAAGGCAGTAACTCGAGTCTGAAGGGGAAAGTGGTGGGGAACGGTAATGGGCATTTGCAAGAGAATAATGGAACGGTGATTCAGGAATGGCGGCCCGTTGTTTTGAAGGAAATTGAGGAAAGGCCCCAAGCCCATGTAAAGGATCTCACGACAGGTAAACAAACTGGGCCAAGCCCAACAGACACATTGACAGACCAAATAATAGCGGAGGGGCCTTTGAGCCCAGTCTCTGGTAACTCTGCTCCATCGATTCCCCATCCGTCCCAGCCACAAGTGAAGGAAAACACCGACCCCAATCGGCAGTCAGTCTCGATTCGCCACCGCTCCAAGAAACTAAAACCCCAGCAAACTCCGGTGAGGGAAGTCAAGCCGAAAATCATGAAGGAATCTTCTAAAAAGCCTCTGTCCCAAACTTCCCTTTCGGCGAAAAAGATGTTGCAAGAGTTATCCAGGACACCCAAATTCCCCATCAATCCCCAATCCATTACGGAGTTCATGAATAACTCGAAGAGACCGACTGATGGAGCTCCGCAATTGGACATCGGAAAAGTTAATGACTTGACTATGGCAGATAACAGCGACCCCGCCATGGCCTGTCCGCCAGCCATCGAAGCCTCTGGGGGCCAGTCGGCCACCGAAACTTAGCGCCGAAGCGCTCTTTCCTCCTTCCCTCTTTTTTTCTATGATTAATTTATTTACTTGGAACTGTCGTGGGGCTAAAACCCCCAAATTTCTTGCGATTTTTAAAGATTATGTGTTTACCCACTGCCCTAATTTAATTTTCATCGTTGAGCCTCGTATTAGCGGCAAGGATGCGTTGGATGTTATTAGTAAAATGGGTTTTGATAAGCATGAATTGGTTGAGGCGGTGGGTTTTTCACGGGTATTTGGGTTTTGTGGAATTCCTCTGTCTTCTCCATTTCTGTTCTGGATCGTAGCTCTCAGATGTTGCATTTTCGTTGTGTGAATGTGCAGGATAATCGTGCAGTGCTCCTCATGGCAATTTACGCCAAACCTAATGACCATGATCGTCTGCCGCTGTGGGACACTCTTAGAAGATTGGAGCAGAATATCTCCAAGCCTTGGCTTTTGGCTGGTGATTTTAATTCTGTCAGAGGCCCTTCGGAGATGATCAGGAGGGGCGGCCTATAACCCGGCGAACTCAGCTAGTTTCAACAGATGCATTGACGAATGTGGGCTGCTAGATGTGGATTTCAGAGGGCCAAGGTTCACTTGGGTCAGGGGAAACCTCCTCTCTAGACTGGATCGAGCTCTTTGCAATCCGGAATGGATGAGCAGCTTCCTAGATACGATCACTAATCACCTACCCCGGCTCCAATCAGATCACCGGCCTCTTCTAATCTGCTCATCCAATGACCAAACTCACAAAAAGCAGAAGAGGCCCTTCTGGTTTCTAGCCTCGTGGCTCACCCACAAAGACTTCCAGCCCACGCTAGAGAAGTCCTGGAATCCTGAGCTGATTTCCTCGACTCCCTCCAAGGTCTTCAACATACCCTTTCAATCTGGAATAGGGAGGTCTTCGGTAACATATTCAAGAGAAAGGCAACCCTCACCAAACGTCTCGCTATTGCTGAAATCAGGAACGACGCTACGCCTGATCCTTACGGTCTCCAGCAAGAAGCATGCCTTCGTGATGAATTGGAGCAAACCTTGTGGCAGGAGGAACTGCTCTAGATACAGAAAGAGAGAGCGGGCTGGATTAACTTTGGGGATAAAAACACTTCTTTCTTCCATACTGCTGCCCTGACTAGACGTCGTCGGAATAAAGTCTCAAAACTGAAAGCTGCTGATGGAACTTGGGTGGAAGATCCCCAGTTACTGGAAGACATGGCTAGGGACTTCTATATTGCTCTCTTTACCGAGGATGCAGGTTTAAGACCTCTTTTGGTTGCCATGTTTCCAGTGATTGAGGATAGTGATCTGCGTGGTCTGGCTGCAATTCCCACGGAAGAAGAAACCTGCAAGATCATCAAGGCGATGGGGGGTCTCAAGGCTCCGGGCAAGGATGGTTTCCATGCGGTGTTCTATCAAAAGTGTTGGGATTCTATCGGCAAGGACTTCCACCGGCACTTAGTCCAGTGTTTCAAGGAACCGGATCGCATTGCCAGTTGTAATATGACCCTTCTTTCCTTGCTGCCCAAGGTTGATTCTCCATCGTCCATGGGCCAGTTTCGACCTATTGGTCTCTGTAATGTGAGCTACAAGGTGCTTGCTAAGTGTCTGGCAGATCGGCTTAGGAATATCTTGCCAAGGCTGATCGATGAGAATCAGACTAGCTTCGTCCCCAATAGACACATCACGGATAATATCATTATTCTTCAGGAGGTGGTCCACTCGCTTGGCCAGCTAAAGGGAACTCGTGGGAGCATGGTTCTGAAGATTGATCTAGCCAAGGCATATGATAGAGTCAATTGGAAGTTTCTGCTTTCCACCTTGGTAGCGGCAGGCCTTCCTACGGACTTCATCAATCTGATTATGGCTTGTGTCACAACCTCTAGTTTCCAGGTCCTCTGGAATGGAAGCTGCACGGACTCATTCAAACCGTCACAAGGATTAAGACAGGGTTGTCCCCTCTCTTCCTATCTTTTCACTTTATGCATTGAACGTTTGAATCACTGTATTAAAGATTCTGTGGGTAAAGGAGAATGGGTTCCTCTGCATCTATCTAGGAATGGTCCTGCACTGACGCGTCTCTTTTTTGCAGATGATCTAGTGCTTTTCGCTGAAGCTTATGTGAAACAGGGGAGGGTAGTCCTCAATTGTCTTGATAGATTTTGCGCAGCCTCTGGGGAAGAAGTTAGTAAGGACAAGTCGTGCATCTATTTCTCAAAAAAACACCAAGGAGCAGAAGAAGAGAAGAATCAGTAGATTGCTGGGCATGAAGCAGACTGAGAACCTGGGCAGATACCTAGGAGTACCAGTTATCCATGGTCGTGTCACCAAGGACACTTACAAGTATGTTCTGGAGAAGCTGGACAAGCGGTTGGCGGGATGGAAGACTCGTAGTCTTTCCCTAGCAGGTCGTGTCACCCTCGCTCTCTCGGTGCTGAACGCCCGCCCAAACTGCAAGGCGATCGATAGAAAGATCAGGCGGTTTGTTTGGGGAGCTGAAGAAGGACAATCTAAAACTCACCTCGTCTCATGGGAGAATATCTGCAAGCCGAAGGAGGAAGGGGGCCTGGGTCTTCGCTCGGCTCGTGCCCTTAATTTGGCTTATTTGATGAAACTAGGGTGGATCTTCCTTAATGATGAAAAACCTCTGTGGGTCCGGATTTTGCAAGACAAGTATGTCAAGGAAAATGATAATGGCAGCGTCTCGATGCGTCAACAGCGGGTCTCTAGAATTTGGGAGGGGATCCTGGAAGCCCTCCCCCTGGTGAAACAAGGAACAGTGTGGGATATTAGGGATGGGGAGAGTGTCAACTTCTGGCATGATCCTTGGGTAGCCGAAGGAGTCTACCTCAAGGACTATATAGACGATAAAGCCGGGGTGGTGGACTGGAATGCCTCTGTTGGCGACATGGCCATTAGCCCAGGTGAGTGGAACTGGCCTCGCTTCGAAAAATATCTTCCTGACTCCATTAATCTTCTCATTGCAGGGCTAGATGCACCAAACCAGGAATCGGGTGAGGATCAGACGACGTGGGGAATGGAGCAGGATGGGAAGTTCCGACTGGGATCATCGGACACCGTCGCGGCTGATTGGCTTAGCAAGGGGGATGGGAGTGAGACACCAGCCATTGTTGCGCCTACCTGGAAGGCTATCTGGAAATGGGACAGCCCAAACAGAATTCGGCATTTTCTCTGGCTAGCTTTTCATAACCGATTGATGATGAACTGTGAAAGGAAAAGGCGAAAGATCTGCATTCAAGACACTTGCGAGCTGTGCAAAGCGGCTCCCGAATCAACTGAACACACCTTGCGCCACTGTGCGGCTGCTGCTCAGGTATCGCAAGCTCTGGGGATTTCAGATTCTACTCTAACTATCGGTCTCAACATGACAGATTGGATGGCAAGGAAGCTCAAAGACTCAAAGACTGGGCTGCTGTTCGGGGTTGCAGCGTGGTACCTCTGGAAGAGAAGGAACTAATGGATTTTTTACAACAAGCATCAAGAAACACAGACTCTTGTCCAAAGAATACAAAGCTGGACGCCTGGACCAGTACCATTCGAGAAGCACAAAGCAATGAGAAGGACATCCATACCTTGCAACAAAGAAAACCCACGACCGAGGTTGCTTGGATCCCCCCCCCCCCCCCATCCTGAATGGGTGGTGGTCAACTCTGATGGTTCTGTTAAATACCCGGATTCGTTGGCAGCTGCAGGAGGTCTGGTGCGTGACAGCTCTGGCAGGTGTCTAGGTGCGTTCGCCTCTAATCTCGGAGCTTGCACCATTACCAGGGCGGAGCTGCTGGGTGCTATTCAGGGGCTTCGGCTTGCCTGGAGCCTGGGGTAACGCAAAGTGGACTTGAGAGTTGATTCGATGGTTACTCTCGGCATTATGAATTCGCTTGGGCCTTATGAAGGTCGCTATCACAATCTGTGGAGGCAATTCCAGAGCCTCTTTCATCAAGACTGGGTGGTTCGCATCTCTCACACATTTAGAGAAGGAAATAAAGCATCTGACTTTTTGGCCAATAAAGGCCATTCGCTTGGTTTAGGATTTCATGTCATTGATCCGAGTGACTCGGGGCTTAATTTTTGGCTCTTGTATGACTCTATGGGCATTGCCCAATCTTGTTTAGTTTAAAGTATCAGGCAGGGGCGCCCTTTTAGCGTCCCACTTTTCCACCAAAAAAAAAAAGAATACACTTAACAAAACACTCAGCAAAATAGGAGAGGGACAAAAATGGATTTTCTCATTAGGAGCAGCTAATGATCAAGAAGCAGGGAGAAACCAAAACAAAGGAATAAGGTATTACACAAAAGTAAAAATTACATAGAATAAATTTTTAACTTGAACTGAAGAGATATAAATTTTAAATTAGAATTTGAATAGATGAATCAACTATGGACTAGTCGGTTATATGTGATTGGCCATTGAACCGCAAAAGGTTCTATGATTTAAGTGCCTCACTGATTCAATATTTTTTTCAAAAAAATTAACGAGGCCACTAAAAAATATATGGGATGTATGAATTTTTAATTAGTACTTAACGAGATCTGTAAAATCATGAACCAATTACAACTAGGCGATGAACTAGCCAGTTGTTTACGACTAGGCGATGAACTGCAAAAATCGCTATGATTGAAGTGGTTCACTGGTTCAATGTTGTTTCCCAAAAAACTTAACTAATAAAAAATATTATGGGAGGCAGAAACGTGAAAAGCTAACTAATTACCATAAAAAAATTATACTTCTCCATTTCATTTTTGAATTGCCCATCATCTTCCTTTATTTAGTTCCACATTTGGCTTCTTCATCCAACATTACTTAGTATATTATATATGTAATCTAATCTAAAGGATCCATAAACGATTCACCAACCGCTCTATAAAAATTAATTATTGAACCATGAACAACTGACTTTTTTAGTTCAATATCCAATCCCACTAAAAATACAAAGATTTTTCTAAGTATGTTATCATTTTCCTCCTTATTCTCTCCCTGAAATTTGTAAACATGTAATTTTGAATAGAATTTCACTTTCTATTTCCTTTGCTTCTCTTTAGAGCTTTCCTTCCCACTTGAGTTAGAATCTTCTAAAATTACACACAAAACTAAGACTATGTTTAAGCTTATCAAAGAAAGAATCATCACTAAACAATTATCATCCTAGAAAAACAATTACTATCATAAATGCACCACTGTAAGGATCAAATATTCATGAGCAACCATAACAAGCGAATAATTGTGTTGATGTGACTTGAATCGGACTATCAGCCGCTACGACTGGTAGTCGGGGGTCTCGCTGCCCGGTCAGCGAGTGGAGTTAAGACTCCTTATGAGGTGTGGTATGGTAAGCCTGCTGATTACTCTTCACTGAAAGTTTTTGGGTGTCCTGTTTATTATCATGTGGATGAGGGTAAACTGAACCCAAGGGGAAAAAAGGGTGTATTTGTGGGTTACGGAGATGGAGTTAAGGGATTTCGAGTCTGGTCACCTTCTGAGCATCGAGTTATACTCAGTAGAAATGTGATATTTGATGAGAAGTCTATGTTTAACCCCATGTTGAAGGTTACTGTTGTTGAAGGTAGCAGGAATGTTGATAAGCAGGTGGAGCTACAAACTCTCAATGAGAGTGAGTTTGAGCACCAAGGTGGAGAAGATCAACATGATGAGGATGTCTCTGCAGAGCCAGAAACTTCAGAGTCCAGTGCACGAGCTCAACAGTCTATTGCTTCCGGTAGACCGAAGAGAGCGACTGCAGGAGTACCTCCACAGAGGTATGGTTTCGAGGACATGGTGGCGTATTCATTTCAGGTTGCTGAAGAATTGGATGCAGGTGAGCCACGGTCCTATAAAGAAGTCGTTTCGGGTGGTGAAGCTGATCAGTGGCTTGCTGCAATGGCAGATGAGATGGAATCCCATGACAGGAATCAGACTTGGGAGCTAGTCAAACGACCACATGGAAGGAAGATATTACAAACAAGTGGATCTACAAGAAGAAGGAAGGAATCACTTCTAAAGAGGGCATGAAATTTAAAGCTTGGGTGGTTGCACGTGGCTTCTCGCAGAGGGAAGGAGTTGACTACAATGAGATTTTCTCACCAGTGGTCAGACATACTTCGATCAGAGTGATACTAGCAATAGTGGCACATTATGACTTGGAGCTCGAGCACCTAGACGTGAAGACAGCTTTCCTGCATGGAGAGTTGGAAGAAGAAATTTACATGACTCAGCCAGAAGGATTCGAGGTTCCGGGAAAAGAAGACTATGTTTGTAAGCTGAAGAAGTCCTTGTATGGACTTAAGCAGTCTCCGAGGCAGTGGTACAAGAGATTTGACAGTTACATGCTTGAGCTGGGCTATAGCAAAAGTCCATATGATTGTTGTGTGTATCACAACAAGGTGGAGGATGGTTCGATGATCTATCTTGTTCTGTATGTGAATGATATGCTCATAGCTGCGAGGTCGAAGTCTGATATCCAGAAGTTAAAGGGGCTTCTCAGTGCTGAGTTTGAGATGAAGGATTTGGGAGTTGCTCAGAAGATCTTGGGTATGGAGATTTACATGGACAGGTCGAAGAAGAATCTTTTCTTGTCACAGAAGAGCTACATCCAGAAGATATTGTCGAGGTTTGGCATGTCTTCAGCAAAGCCCTTAAATACTCCTAGTGCTTCAAATGTCCATCTATCCTCAGCTTATGCACCGCAGTCAGAGGCTGAGAAGGAGTACATGTCGAGAGTCTCATATGCTAGTGCAGTAGGTAGCTTGATGTACGCTATGGTATGCACTAGACCTGATCTTGCACATGCTGTTAGTGTTGTCAGCAGGTTCATGATACAACCTGGAAAGGAGCATTGGCAGGCTGTGAAAAAAGATCTTCCAGTACCTTAAGGGTACACCTATGTGGGGATTAGCTTCGGAAGTGATACAGAGTGCTTGGTGTCTGGGTATTCTGACTCAGACTATGCTGGAGATGTTGACACGATGAGATCGATGACAGGTTATGTATTCACTCTTGGTAGTTCTGTAGTGAGCTGGAAGGCAACTCTGCAGCCGGCGGTGACATTGTCCACTACTGAGGCAGAGTATATGGCATTGACAGAAGCTGCTAAGGAGGGAATATGGTTGAAGGGACTGGTTAGTGATATGGGTCTACATCATGATCATGCAGTGGTGTATTGCGACAGTTTGAGTGCAATATGCTTGGCCAATGATCAAGTCTACCATGAGAGGACTAAGCACATCGACGTGAGGTATCATTTCTTGAGGACAGAGAAGAGGATTAAGGTGAAGAAGGTTGGCACCGCGGATAATCCTGCTGATATGTTCACGAAACCGGTTCCACATGGCAAGTTCCAACACTGCTTGGACTTGCTGAATGTCTTGAGTGGGTGACTCCACCCTACGTGGCATTGATGGAGGGAGAGAGAGAGAGAGAGAAGGAGCAGAGTACATCAGAGATTTCAGAGGAAGAGGATTCAAGTCAAGGTGGAGATTTGTTGATGTGACTTGAATCGGACTATCAGCCGCTACGACTGTGTTTTTTGATTCTCGCTTTCGTATTCTTGGTTTATCGATTCCGGCGATTTCCCAATCCATAGCAGAGCGTTTATAACAAATTGACCGCCTCGCAGCAAAGCGCTATTTCCTGTCTAGTATATATAAAAAAAACAATCCATGACCTCAAATCCTCTCACTCATTCGTATCTCTTTTTCTCTGTCCTTTTTTCTTCTCCCTAATCTAGGAATAAATATTGGATCTTCCTCGATTCTTCCTCGAATGTAACGGATGAATGAGCCATGGCAGCAGCATTTGAAGATTGAATCAAGATGTTGGGAAGCTCCTGCTGCGAATGGAGGAAGAACGCAACTGAAGATCACACGTCCTTGAGAAATGACGACGTTTTGCTCTAATCCGGAAATGTCATTTTGGTACAAAACGCAGGTCATTTCTTTAATAGAAGACAGAGACGAGCCAAAACGATGTTGTCCTTCTTAGTTGGTTATTTGCAGTAATTAAGCGTTGTCTTGTGGACACTTGGCGCTTTGTTATTTGTTGTTTTCAATTAGTTAGATTATTACTGTAGATTAGTCGTTAAGTTCTTTGTGTAAAGATTGTTGGGTATATAATGAGAAAGCAGAAAACGAAGCTTTCAAGTTTTGAGATCCTTCATCAAAACTCTCTCTCTATTTCTTCTCATAGTATCAGAGCCGGGTTGGCTTTTCTGAATCAGATCTTCAATTTTCTACTAATAATTTCCATTTTCTCGATCCAAACATGTCGATTCCTGAAACGCAAGTGGATGGGTTTGTAGCTGATGAAGTAGAGGACGATGAAGTTGCTTCAGCAAATGACGCCACTCTACCACGAACCCCTCCAATAGGAAACACTCGACGTCAGATGGATCAATTTGTTCCCTCTATGATTCCTCGCTACGAGGATCCCTATCTCAACCCTTACTAACTTCCTCCTCACTATGGTGGCTTGACAACCATCATCTCGATGAAGCTCACTGACCAGAACTACAATCTCTGGAGTCAAATAATGGAGCTAGCTCTTAGCACTAAGAACAAGTTACAGTTTTTGAATGGATCGATTCCAGTACCACAAATGGGAGACCTAATTTGGCATTCATGGCATAGATGTGACAGTACAGTCCATTGTTGGATCTATAATTCACTTTCAGATGACATTGCTAATAGCGTTGTTCCTTACAAAGTTGCAAAAGATGTATGGGACAATCTGAAAGATAGGTTTAGGCAGATAACATTAGGGTGTATGAGCTTAATGAGCAGATTGCCAAGTGTGTTCAGGAGAATCTCATAGTTACTCAATACTACACTGCC